TAAAATATTTTGATGGCAAAAAAACCCCCACAACACTTTAATTTTATTAGATTCAGTTTTTGTATTGCAGCCTATTGAGATATGTCTGGATCCTAATTCTGACTCTTCCTTGCCACAAGTTTACATGGCCTCCTCTTTTTAAAAGTAATTTGTATTTTAATCTTTTGCATAAATATATGGAAATCTCATTAATATTGACTTTGATCTGAAAAGAGATACTTTTTAAAAAAATACTTTTTTTCTTGATATTGAGAGAGAGAGAGAGAGAGAGAGAGAGAGAGACATTGATGTGAGAGCGAAACATCAATCGGCTGCCTCTTGCATGCCCCCAACTGGGGATCTAGCCAATAACCTGGGCATGTGGCCTGACCAAGAATTGAACTAACAACCCTTTGGTCCACAGGAAGATGCCCAACTAACTGCGCTACACTGGCCAGGGCATAAAACAAACATTTTTTATATTAAAGCTCTGGTATAAGAACAACACATCTTAAGAAGTATGTGTGTGTGTTTTCCCATTTCTCACCCCATTTCCATCTCCTTCCCTTGACTGTTGACTGATAGAGCATTAATAACTGGCAGTCTTGGCAGCTATTTATGCAGCCTGACCATGCTGTGAAATTTGTGGTTTGGGGTGGGTGGGGGATGGAGAGGATCTCTCTCATCCTGGGTTCTTTACCATCGGCAGCCTCCTCCTTACTAGTGAATAATTGATTTTTTTAAAAAAATGTATCTTTATTATTGAAAGTACTAGAGGCCCGGTGCATGACATTCTTGCACTGGAGGGAGGAACGGGGGTTCCTCAGCCTGGCCTACACCCTTTAGCAGTCCGGGAGCCCTCGGGGAAATGTCCGACTGATAGCTTAGGCCTGCTCCCCTTGGGCCTGTCAGTCGAACATCTTTAGGCTTGTGGCTGAGAAGTGCTCCCCCTGTGGCAGCGCCCTGACCAGCAGGGGGCAGCTCCTGCATTGAGCATCTTCCCCCTGGTGGTCAGTACGCGTTATAGCGACCAGTCATTCTGCTGTTTGGTTGATTTGCTGTGTGACCCATGTCCCGCGTGGTTCAGGGTTCGGGATCTGGAGAAGGGCTGTGCGCAAATGACAGAGATGAGACAAGAAATAATAATTTGGAAATAACGGGGGCCAGGCGAAGAGTCCAACGCAAGGGGAAGGACTTCACTGGTGCCCAGGCCTTGTCAACCTTTTATTCAATTTTGGATACACATATTGCCCTTAGTGAGGCAGGCAATTCTGGTAACAGACAGACTATCTTAAAGGCCAGTAAATATTAGCAAAGAGCCGAAACCGGTTTGGCTCAGTGGATAGAGCGTCGGCCTGCGGACTGAAAGGTCCCAGGTTCGATTCCGGTCAAGGGCATGTATCTCGACTAAACAATCGGTGCATAGCTCTGGCCCTTGCCAGGGCTCAAGGTTCACCAGCGTTTCGGGCTCCTTGTTTACACTTCTCTGATAGTGAAGACAATGGGTAGCTTCTAACAATTTGCATATTACCCTTTTATTATAAAGGATTACAAATGTCTCCCCTTCTTCCCCCCATTTCCCTACCACCCATCTGCCTCTCCCAGGCCTGTACCACGCTATGTATGTGACCATGGACTATGCATATATGCCTACAAATTCCATTAATCTCACCCCACCCACCTCCGCACCCCCACCTTCCCTCTGAAATTCTCCGTCTGTTCCATGCTTCTATGCCTCTGGATTTATTTTGTTCATTAGTTTATTTTGTTCATAAGATTCCACATGAGTAAGATCCTGTGATAATTATTTTTCTCTGACTGGCTTATTTCACTTAGCATAATCCACTCCAGGTCCCTCCATGTTGTTTCAAAGTGATTTTACTTTTAGTTAAGGAATATTTTAACTTAGTTGTTAGAAGACGTTATTCCACAGCTAAACATGACAGAGAACACACACATACACACATACACATGGAAATTAGAAAATTTATTTTCAACCTTCCCAAATCTTCCATAGAGGAGCATAAAGTTATTACATTTTTCAACATCAAGCAGAGAAGGATTCATATTAAATTAGGAATGTTATATGTAATTTCCACCAGAAAGCCCTTGATTTAATTTACAATTAAACTGAGGAGTAGGTGCTTTCGCTTGCTTTTTCTAATTAAGGAATTGTACTTACTAAATGTACAAATTCAATTGTTCTCATATACAAAAAAAAGACAATCACAACTAAGTACCCATTACTATTTGAAAAATAGCATGAGTTTGCCAACGTTGTTGGTTTGAGAAAGGATTCTCTGTGTACCTCAATAATCAAATGTGGGGTCATAAACTGAAGTTATTGTTCACAGAGGCCTAAACAAGCAACAACAACAAAAAAAACAACAAAAAACAACAACAGTGAAATCCCAAAAATTTTCAGAAACATAGATAACTAATGATATTACCTAATTGCTAAACAATCTTTAGGACAGTGATGGCGAACCTTTTGATCTCGGCGTGTCAGCATTTTGAAAAACCCTAACTTAACTCTGGTGCCGTGTCACATATAGAAATTTTTTGATATTTGCAACCATAGTAAAACAAAGACTTATATTTTTGATATTTATTTTATATATTTAAATGCCATTTAACAAAGAAAAATCAACCAAAAAAAATGAGTTCGCGTGTCACCTCTGACAAGCGTGTCATAGGTTCGCCATCACTGCCTTAGACAGTGGTTCTCAACCTTCTGGCCCTTTAAATACAGTTCCTCATGTTGTGTATGGGAACATAGGCTGAATCAGAACCGTCATGCATCACTTAATGGGAATACATTCTGAGAAATGTGTCATTAGGAAATTTGACCACTGCGCAAACATCATAGAGTGCACTTACATAAACCTGGATGGTATAGCCTGCTACACATCTAGGCTACATGGTACAGCCTACTGCTCCTGGGTTATAAGCCTGTACAGCATATCACTGTACTGAATAATGTAGGCAATTATAACACAATGGTAAGTATTTATATGTTTAAACATATTCTAAATAGGAAAAGTACAGTAAAAATACAGTATAAAAGGTTAAAAATGGTATACCCCTACAGAGCATTTACCATGAATAGAGTTTGCAGGACTAAAAGTTGCTCTGGGAGAGTCAGTGAATGAGTGGTGATTGTGAAGGCCTAGGACAGCACTGTACATTATTGTTGAAACACTGTACAGCACTTAGTCTATATTAAATTGATAAAAATATTTTTCTTCCTCCAATAATGAATTAAAACCTTACCTTACTGTAACTTTTTTACCTTATATACTTTTTATTTCTTAAACTCTTCAATTCTTTTGTAATAAACTTTAAATGTAAGCATATTGTACTGCTGTACAAAAACATTTTATTTCTTTATACTCTTATTCCAAAAGCTTTTTCCTATTTTTAAAATTTTTATTTACTTTTAAAATGTTTTTGTCAGAAACTAAAGCACAAACACACACATTAGCCTAGGCCCGTGGTTGGCAAACTGCGGCTCGCGAGCCACCTGCGGCTCTTTGGCCCCTTGAGTGTGGCTCTTCCTAAGCCTTAGGAGTACCCTAATTAAGTTAATAACAATGTACCTACCTATATAGTGTAAGTTTAAAAAATCTGGCTCTCAAAAGAAATTTCAATCGTTGTACTGTTGATATTTGGCTCTGTTGACTAATGAGTTTGCCGACACTCCTTTCAGAAACATGTCCGCGATGGCTTGCTTGGTTTGTTTCTTTTTTTCCATCGTAGGTTTGCTTGTAAATAGATAATGTACCACGAATACCTGTCCGGATTGGGGTCCATGTTTCCACACTTTTTGAGGAGTTTTTTGAGGTCTGAAAAAGCTTCTGCCAAATCCGTCACTGACTTTCCCCAGGGGTTCTTCTTTTTCTTCTGTGTGTTCCCTTTACCTTGCCTAGTCTTCAGCTTCGTGTTCCTATACAAGTTGCAACAACTTCTCATTAATCAATTGCTGAGGAACCACCTCTAGGAGTTCCTCAAGGTCATCCTCATCCACACTTCGGTTAAGGCTGTTTGCCGTCTCATCCACAGCTTTGTTGATTTTTGCAGCCTCTGTGCTAATGTTACGATGGCTATGATGTCACTAGGCAATAGGAATTTCTCAGCTTCTTTATACTCTATGGCACCACCATTGTATATGTGGCCCATCATTGTCCAACACATTGTTAAGGGGTGCATGACTGTATAAACATTATGTAAAAAGTCTATAACAGTAATTTTCTCTTTTGTTGAAAAGTTGTCTAGTGATTTGTTGTCATCAGAAACTCTTTGGTACTAAACCAATGAATTGTTTCTATACATAAAAAAAAATTATGATAGGAGATTAACTAATAACTTTTGTAAAGAGTATGACCTATGAACAAAACCAAAGCTTGACATTAAATTCCTGTATAACTTCAATGAGAAAACTTATCTTCTCTTTATTTTGTTAGATGCAAAATAAAATTGTTCCTGTATGCTTAACACATAATAATACATAAATAAAATAATTTTTCTAGGATCCTAATAAACATCCATCAAAAGGATTATTTAACATACAGTACATAAACTAAGACATATTAGCAGAACTTTGGTGAAACTGTGGTCATGAATTCTGGTTGTTAGGAAACAGGGGAGAAAGTTATGATAAAATCCCCAAGCCTCACGATGGCTTGGGCTGGTAAACCTCAACACACTTATTTACAGGGTACTTCCACAACAAACTAAAAATGTGAAGTAAAATTCATTTATACAGCCCCAAGCGAGTCAGATTAGAAACTTGGGTATTCTAAATCACTCCATAATATCTTAAAGTTATTTTTAACTGAATGATGAGAACACCAAAAAAATGCAAAACCACTTGTGAAAAGAAAAGTATTTGGTGACTCGTCATCCTATTTTGTACTGGTTTTACTCAGAAACTGAAATATAAAATCGTTTTCCAATTGCTTAATAGCTGTTAGTGAAAATAAGAACCACACAAAATGTGCACATTAAAAAAATATGTTCTGGTGACAATGAAACAATACTTAAAGGTTTTGGCACAACAGAGTAGATTATGTGACATCTATACATAGGTTTCTGCTTTGTTTATCTGTTAAAACGTTTAAAGTTGTTTTCTTCTTTGCACTGGGCAATCGAGTTTCTTGTGGGGGCCATTGGGAAATCGTTGTTTTTCAGCTAGAAGGCCAGGCTTACTTTTCCATCACAACATTTATGGTCACTACCCAAGTGGCTTCAGTCACATCTCGTTATTTTTGATGTTTTTCATTTTTGAACATTTCTATAAGGAAAGGAAAAATAAGAAGGGTCTATCAGAAATATGTATTGGAAATAGCCAGGAAGAAAACTACTTGCTTTCAAATACTGCTTATAGGACACTCTCATGAATATATGCTTTTAAAGAAATAACTGAGATAAAAATAAGAAGAGTAAAAAAAAAAAGTAAGAAATGTAAACTCTTTAGATAAAAGGTAAGTATTTTTATGAGCTAGGAGATAACACCTTGAATTTGTAAAGTGTTTTTCAGTTTACAAAGTGCTTTCCTTTGCATTTTTAGTTTGTCCGCATAAAAACTCTATTATATAGGAAATGTAAGGGGAAAAAGTGAATTCACAGTGACGTTGAGAAACTTGTCCAGCAATCACACAACTTCACAAAGAGTCTGAGGTTGATTGTGCTCTAAAATGAATATCTGATTGCAGACCAGCACTCCTGCAGAAAAGAGCCCAGCCCTGGTGGTGTTCTGAAGACTATAGAGGAGAAAAGGTTACATATAAATGTTCAACGGAAGAGAAGGCAACAGGTCTCAAGCATCAGCTGTCTGAGCGAAAGCTTCTGATTAACATATACACAGACTTGACTTCACCACAGCATCATATCCACACTCAAGTAAAGAAAGCTACATTGCAAATAGGAAATGTGTCTGTGTGCAGGCAAGACACTTGATTCTTTTCCAGTATGGCTTGATGGAGCAGTGTGTGTGTGTGTGTGTGGGGGGGGGGGCTTAAAACCCCTAATAGCATGCACTAGCACCATACAGTCAAGAATAAAGAAAACCAGTCATTCCTTTCGTTCTCCATACCTGTCATTAGTGATCTGTTAGGTGCTGGCCACATGGACATCCAGAGGATGCCTCGGGGGCTCTTGCCCCAGGGCTCATTAGCTTTGCCTTCCTCACTCCTTCCTTCCTCTCTTTTCCCTCCCTCCTTCCTCTCCTTCCTTTTTCCATTCATCTCTCCCTTTCTCTCCTCCTTCATCTCTCCTTACCTTTGTTTGTTTCTTTCCTTTTTTTTTATTCGACCCTTAATTTATTTAAATTTTAAGTTAATTTATTGGGGTGAATTTGGTTAATAGGATCATATAGGTTTCAAGCACACATTTCTATGACAGATTATCTATATATTGCACTGTGTGCCCACCACCCAAAGTCAAATCATCTTCTCTCACCACATATGTGGCCCCTTTGTTTCTTTCTTCTTTGTTTCTCTTCTTTCCTCTCTTCCCTTCACCCTCCCTTTCTTTCCTTTCTCCCCTCCCCTCCTGCCTCTTTCCCAGCTCCCTCCTCCCCTCCCTCCCTCCTTTCCTTCCTTCTTTTTTCTGCTAGATATTAACTCTGTAACCTTAAGGAAGTCATCTAACCTTTATGTGCCTCATTTCCTCATCTTTAATAAATGGGGGAAGTATAATAGTGCTTATTTTATACATGATGCCTATGTGCCTATTATGACAAAGATTGAATGAGTTAATAAATGTAAAGGGTTTTATATTTTACAGTGAGGAATTTTATTCTCACCAACTGCCAGTTATTTTTATATGTGTGAAATAGAAAGACAATGTATATAGTTTTGTGACCTCTGGGTAGCTCACAGGCTAATTGGGAAAGTTTTAGGAAAGGAGATGTCAAAGCAGAAAGAAATGGAATTTCTCCACACATCATGTTAATTCCCTCAGCAGCCTGATTTATTCTCCTCTGTCAACATCTCCTCTCAGTGTCAACTGGGGCTTGGGGCTGAGGGCTGGGGGCAGAGCAGGGGCAGTCAGTGGCTGATGAGAGAGAGGCAGCCTGGATTCCATGCTCTCCTTGGTTTCTTTCCCTCTCCTCATCCCCCACTATTCCCAACTGCTGCCCGTGGATATTTTGGTCTTCCTTACACCACAGCAGCAATAAATCGACACACTGTAGTAGTATATACATTATAGATGAAAGGACACGGGGTTTTTAGGCAGTATGCCCAGATTTTATTCCCACTCCTATCTCCTACTATCTTTGTGACTTTATTTGTAAAAAAGGGATAACAACAGTATTCCTCCCTCAGAGTGCTGCTTTTCTTGGGGGAAATGGAGATTGAGGGCAAATGAAATAGATATACTGTAGTATAGAAAACAGAAAATAAAGGCCTAGGTATGATTCCTTATTCTGAGACTTACTGGCTATGGGTCTTGAGGAATCTCTAAATTCCATTACTTTATCAGTGAATGAATTTTGATAATCATAACTGAATCACAGAGTTGCAGAAATAGCAAATGAAATAATGGACCTGCAAGTACTTTGTAAAATGTAAAGTGCTACAGGAATATTACTTGCTATTACCATCTCATATTCACATAAAACTATTATAAGCCCATAGTTTGTAAGTTCAATTTGTCATCTTGACAGTTATTAGTCTCACTCTCCCTTGTCAATAAACTGATTTAAGATAGTACATAGTTAAGCAGAAAAACAGGAGGAGATGGGATTAGTATAATTAGATTATTTTGACATAAAATAATAGGATTTAAACAATCTTAGTTTTGGAGGGGACCTTGTAAGTGGCCTCTCTCTGCCTGAACTAGTCCAATCTTCCACCCAGTGTAGGAATTCTCCAACTAATATCCACACTCAAGTTGACAGAACAGATGTAACATTGAATTGAAACTGTGTTCTTTATTGCATTAACTTTCAAGAAGTCTCAAAATGTGCAGGAACTTATTTTTCTGATGATTATTTAGGTTATAAAATTCAAATTGATTTAAAACCTCAGTTCTTTTGATATTCACCAACCATTCCTTTTAAAATGTCACAAACTTAATATGGAGGTGATGTTTCTTAAATTTAATTCAATAGTCACTGATTACTTTTGAATACTCACAATTACTTAAATGATCAAATTAAGTGAGAGATGTGGAATAATGTATACTCAGCTCCTTGGAGACCAAGCCAAACATTTCATCCACTGAGGAATAGATATAGAATGTAGTTTTGTTTTGTTTTTTTCTCCAAACACTATCCTTCGATAGTCAAAAGTATCCTGTGATAGTCAAAATCTGCATTTATGTAGGAATAACCTGCTGTTCAACCAACAAATCGAAGCTTTATACATATAACATTAATGGCTAATTTGTTGACTGAGAGGATTAAAGTGAAAGAAAATTTTTATTTTCTTCTATTTTGAAGGAATCAAGTTCAAGTATATATAAAAGTGCTTTACCTTCTTTCATAAAACTGGTATTTCCTAAAGACTTCATTTGAACCCAGGTCAGTCAAACCCTGCTTGTTTCTCTGTTGGGAATTTTGAGTGCCAATCTCCTCAAATTGCTCAACTTGATGGTGAACAGTAAAATCTGCAGTAAGCACCTTTAGTAGGCAGCTTGATTGTGAAATGTGTTTTCCTGGAATCCCTCCTGAATATTTCCAACAGGATTTTCATCCATGTACCATTTTCATATATATATTCATCTTAAACTTTTCTTAGCATGTGTTATAATTCAGTTATTGGTTGAGATTGAACTAGCTGTTTTATTCTTCTCATCTATAGTGGTTCTAAGATATTGCACCATTTTTCAGAAATGGGTCTGACACTTATACTACTGGCAACTGTTTTTTCACACAGAAATTGTTTGATAGGTGTCATACACTATATTTCAACCACAGAATGGGAGTCTGGGGTTCATTTCTTTACTCAAATATTTATTGAGAACCTATGATGAGCCATGCCATTTTCTAGAACCTAAGGATACAGAACACTGATAAAAAGTGCCTCACCATCATAATGCCCTCACCTAGGAAAGGAGACCCATAATCAAAATAAGAAATAAAGTTTTAGATGGCATTAGGGAGATAGGCAGGTCCAGCTAGGAACACTACAAATCTAAATGAGGTGGTTACAGGAGGCATCATAAAGAAGGTAATGGCTATGAAACTGTGTGCTTTTAGGAAAGACCTAAAAGAGGCAAAGCTGAAAGCCATGCCGATTTCTGGAGGGAAGATTGACAGTGAGAGAGAAAACAGCCTCTGGAAGCACTGAGGATGGAGGACCCCTAGCGTTTCTGAAGAACAGTTAGGAGGCCAATTGTGAGAAAGGGGAAGAAGTAGAGTGATCCCTGGAGAATTGTGAGGAAAGGAGTTCCATGATCTGACTAAGGTTTTAACATAATTACTCTGATTGCTGTGTGGAGAATGGGGACAGTATGAAGCAAGGGCAGAAGCAGATAGATTAGTTAGGTTCTCAATACAAGAGTCCAGATGAGAAATGATGATGACTTGAACTAGGTTGATAACAGTGACCATGCTAAAAATGATTGTATTCTAGACATTGTGTGAAGATAAAGCCAATAGAGCTTGTTGATGTAGTGGGTGTGATGAGTGAGAAAAAAAGAGAAGTTATTTACAAGTCTTCTACTGCATTATTTTAAAAGTGTGGTCCGGAGACCCCAATCACCCAAGAAACAAGTTGCAATAGATTCCAAGTTCCTACCTGACAACTTCTGAATTAGATTCTCTAGAGCAGAGGTTAGCAAACTTTTACTCTAAAGGGCCAAATAGTAAATATTTGAGGCTTTGCATCTGGTTTTTGTCAAAACTACTCAACTCTGCTGATAGAGTAGGAGCAGGAAAAGAGCCATAGATAATAGCTAAATGAATGAGTGTGGCTGTGATCCAATAAAACTTCATAGACATTGAAATTTGAATCATATGAAATTTTGACAGGTCAAAAATATTTCTTTTCCTTTAATTTTTTCCAAACACTTAAAAATAAAAAATAAAATTCTTACTTTGTGGCTGTACAAAAGCAGGCAATGGGACAGGTTAGACCAACTGCCAGAGTTTGCCAACTCTGCTCTAGAGAGCAGATCCTAAGAATAAGTATTTTTAACATGCTCATATGTGACTTTCTTTATGTTCAAGAACTTAGAGAAACACTGAAATAAATTTTGAAAGTTACGTCATCTGTTCCTTCTTGTTTTGCTTAATTCATGGGTCAGAGTAAAGGTGGTCTTCTTGAACAAAATAAAAATCAGATT